CGTACACGCCTGCAGCTCTCGGTCCAAATAAGCTGCAAGTGCCTGAGAGCAGAGCGACAGATCCATCCGGTTCAGCAGGGTTAAAGATAGATCTCTCACACACACACTCACACTCACACACACACACACACACACAGCTCAGGGGTTCCTGTTTCCTGTCATTACAAACGCTGTTAGCGCACGCTGCCAATGCCACGTCGGCCCACAGGAAGCGCACACACGTGGACTCTTCTTCTCTTTCACAACTTCGAGAAGCTACAAAACTTTCAGCTTCTGGGAAGTGAACCGAGCGCAACTCTGCAGGTGGGGGTGGGGGGGGTCAGGTGTGTTCATTTACAGGCTCGGCTGCAAAGTTGACCTGAGCTGACAAATATACACTCGCCGGCCACATTATTAGTTACACTATACTGATGCTGGAAACGCTCCTCAGAGGCTTTGGTCCACGTCGATATGACATCATCGCACAGCTGTTGCAACATCCATCAGCTGGCCTGAGATCTGTGGGTGTGGACGTCGTGTTCAAGAATCCAGTTTGAGATGATCAGAGTTTGGTGAAGTTGTGCGTTATCCTGCTGGAAGCAGTCAATCCACGACCCAGCACGCCACCGGCCTGCACCACTGATGCTGTGGTTGTATAAGAGCCGGTTCAGTTACCATGGTGATGTACAACATCCGAACATCACAGCACAAAGATTCAGACCAGGAGGACTTCACGTCACCTTTATCACTTTGAACTTCAGCAGGTCGGCTTGTGCTGCCTTGTGATTGGCCGATTAGAAATTTGCGTTAAAGAACAGTTCAACCGATGTACCTAATAAACTGTCCTGTGTGTAAAAGTGACTTTCTACTAATTTACACTAAACTTAAAGGATAAGACGAGGCTCTTCTGCAGAGAGCTCGCCGAGCACACACAGCCGGCGCTTCCAGCTGCAGCGTCCACACTCAAACTAAACTCGATCGTCCGCCCTCAGTGGAAATCAGCGCTGCAGAGACCTGGAGGAGGAGACGTCCAGGTCTGACCTTCTGACCTCAGAGATGAACTCTGGATCCTGGACAACGGAGCGGAAACACAAACTTTCACTTCAAGGCTTCTAAAAATATAAATTGTCCCCGAAGGATCGAGAACATCGCTCACATTTCAAGATCGGCTTTCAGCTTCAGAGAGCGAGGCGGTACGAAACATCCAGCGCGTCATTCCCCACGAGCGTGACCTCTTACCTTTGACTGCGTCACGTCTGTGTGGGGCTTCACGTGCACAGCAGCCACGAGGGGTCAGAGTTACGAACCAACATGTGGTAACCTCAGCTGGTCATTGCAGTCTGACTGCACGTGTGCGCCCGGTACTTCACAGATGTGTGCGCCTCACACAAAGACAGGGAAACATGAGAGCCGGCGCTTACGCAGCATTTTCAATTCAATTCAATTCAATTTTATTTATATAGCGCCAAATCACAACAAATGTCGCCTCAAGGCGCTTCATAGATACAGAGAAAAACCCAACAATCAT